GAACAGGTTCACAATATATTAATACACTTATGGCAATGCAATTACAACATGAACAACAACAAAAATCTAATGTAAGTCGAACAATAAATATCCTTAACAAGATTAACATTTATTTTATTTTTCATATTTCATCAAATATCTAATGATGAATACAACATTCTCTGTAGATCGCGAACGAATAACTAATAAACTAAGGTTTATAACGGATTATCAAAAAATAATTTGACAAAATGTTAATTCATTTTTTTGATCTCGGCAAAAATTCGAAAATATTGATTTAAGAGTTATGAGTCGACCTTTTCGAAGCGCTTCAGTATGCTAAAACTTATCGAAACTATAAAATAATATATTAATCATTAGTTTGCTACGAGTCATTTGTCAATAGTGAATATTTTAGTAAAGTACATCATGTCAATATTTTCGATTTTTATTGCAAAGTAAGCTTAGCCATTCTTGAATGATTGTTCTAAAATTCCTGATGCTTATATATAGTTTTGCGGTCAATTTTATGCAGTAAAGGAGACTATTGGTGCAAATAAAAACCATCAGTTTTCTCTATCCAAACTTAATTATCAAACCTATATTTGAAAATAATACAAAATTTTGATTTAAATTCAATATTTTCAAATTTCTGGAACGATTGGAAAATGAATGTACACGTTGGATCAAATTACTTTTCAACGATTCATTATAATAAATGTAGAAACTTCGGATTTAAATCCGAGAGTTATGTGCACTTCAAAAAGTGAATTAGACATATGAGTCATCCTAGAATATCTGGGCATCAATATTATCCTGGCAAACCTTTTCTATAAACACTTGATTTCTATTAGTTACTGCTCAATCCATAGGATTTCGGGAGGGGAGGAGGAATATAGCTCAGATTTAAACTCTTCGCCTTGATTTACTCTAAGAAAGTTGTTTTTCTTATAACTTAATTTCTATTGGTTAATGATCAATCAATAGGATTTTGAGGCAAATGGAGCTCAGATTCGAGTTCTACGCCCCAGAAAACCTCGAAGTATCATCTCTGTGATCGGAAGATAGAGCTCTAATTGTGGATCAATTAGAGCGTGAACAAAAACAGAACCAATTTTCGTTTAATTATCTTTACAATAGGTGACTTAGCCTTCTTGTTTCTTTATGTTTTATATACCATTTTGTAGCTCGTGAAATTCTCTATCGAATGGTATATAATAGTTGGGATTTTATTTGAATATGATAGGAAACATTTTTTACGAAAACGGAAATAGGTCGATCTTCATATAGAATGGTATAGGGGAAAATGACTTTTTTTGCAATAACTCAGCAATGACTCGGCAAATCACTCTCATCTTCGAACTCAATCGAGATATTGCTGAGACGAAACTGTGTAGAAAATTTCATCACGATTGGACTCTCCTTTGAAAAGCTATCGTGTAAACGGACGGACGGACACCCTGACCGATTTTAGAGCGTACTCACTTTTTGAGTACACAAAAATGAACATTTCTTCACTGTCAAAGTGATATTTAATATTTCAATTAGATGATTTCATCAAATGCTAATATACATCGATTGATTAAAAGAAATATCTTTCGTTTAGAATAAATTATCATTCAAATTAGTCTAGACTTTTTTTTGAAAATTTCGGATCATACAAGAATATCTCTGGATTCTACCTTGTGCATAGAGTTCGAATTCAAAAGTGAATGCTTTTATTCAAGTTTTAATTATTCTAAAATTCTTTTAGAATTTAATTTTGAAATTAATACAAAAAAAAATATTCGAATGTTAAGATATAATAAAAGTCTAAAAATAAGTTTTTATCTTGAATTAATTTTTATGTAAATAGGATGATAAAAAATCGACTGAAATTCTTCATCGTGAAAAACAAGAACATATATCTCAAGCTCTTGAAGCTTTAAAAAATGTTATTCGTAATAATATGGGTATTGAAACATTATGTATTGGTCATTTTAAATTATTATTTTCTTTATTGCGTATGGAAAATGTTGGACGTTTACAACAAAATGCATTAGAATTAATTCTTCATTTAAGTGGTTCAAATGAATGTGTTAATGATATATCACAATCAAATGTTATTGTTTATTTATTACTTGTTTTACGTTCATCAATAACAAACCAAGAAACAACATTAGAAATTTTAAATGCATTGTCATCAAATGGTAAAGTTGTTCGTGATGTTGTTGATAGTGGTGGTCTTCTTTATTTACTTGATATATTTTCAAATGGACAAAATTCAAATTTACGTGAACATGCAGCTAATGTTTTATCAAAATTAATGAATGATCGTTTACATGGTCCACGTATACGTTTACAATTAATTAAATATTTACCTAGTTTAGTTGTTGATGCAATGCGTGAATCATGTGAAACATCAATACAATTATTTGAAACAACACATGAAAATCCTGAATTAATATGGAATGATCATACACGTGAAATGACATGTGAACGTATTGGAAAACAAATTAATGAATTTTATTTAAAACAACGTATAGCACCAACAGAAACAAAATGGTCTATTGATGATCAATATCAATTATTAGGTGATGATGAAGAAACACAACGAATTAGACAAAATGAATTATTAGTTGCTGGAGTTTATGTTCGTTTATTAATTGCTAATCCTGGTTGGGTTGTACGACGACCAAAAGAATTTATTACAGAATTACTTAGTCGATGGACTACACATACAAAGTATGTAAAAAAGTCGATATTTGTCAACTTTAATTAATGTTTCCCCTCCGTCTTCAAAAAAAAAATAAAAAATAAAAACAAGACACTTTTTGAAATACAAAAAAAAACTGACAGAAGACGCTATTAGCAAATTTGCAATTGACTACAGAGAAATATACGTTTCTCTGATACATAGAAATTGCATACACTGTATTGACAATCAAATTTCGAAGGCAGTAGAAAGATCTTAATTATTTGTTTTTTTAGACAACCAGAACAACTTCTTATATCACATACAGATGAATTTGAAATGTTAACACAATGTTTAATACAATTATTACATGCTCAACCATCATTATGCGAACATTTACCATCAATTGGATTTTTACCATCAATTGTTCAAGCATTAGAATGTAAAAGTAATAATGCTATTGTTGCAGCAGCTATTAAAGTTCTTTTTGCACTTTGTAAATCGGATGCTTGTTTACAAACATTTTCAACAAAATGTCCACAAATTATTAGTGGATTCAAAGAAGCTATGCAAACAAGACGTGATCATCTTGGTATGATAACATTTTTTTTAAATATGAAAAAATTTTATTCTATATTCAAAACTTTTTAAAATATTTGAAAGGAGTCTTTTACTCATGTAAGTAATAATAATGATATATTAAAACTATTAAGAAAATATACATAGTATTATTTACTTTGATAAAGAAAAATGTAAACAGATCAGAGACTTGTGCGACGATTTAAAAATCATTGCCAACAAGTTGTTAAATATTTTTTCCGTTTTATTGAAAAAAATATTTTGCGAAACGATCTTTTCTTTCAAAATTTTTCAAACAAATTGATTAAAAAATTATCATCGTTGACGAGCGTACAGTGAATATAGTTCATAGTTCAACTACAATTAATGCTCTTTGAAATAAGGAATATTATACACAGTTTTCTGATACGATTTGAGTTATAATCACTCGTCAAATATTCTAAAACACATTCTTAAGAAGTATCCGACAAGAATATCAACTTTTCATTAGTTCGAGAAAAATATTTAAAATCATAAAAATTTTAAAATATTGTTTATTTCATAGCTTTTTTAAATCTAATCATTTCTTATATGATTTAATTAATTCCTAGAAATTAATAAACTTCGTTATATTCTTTTTCATATATCTTAAATTCTTAATTTTCTTTGTTGTTTTTTTTCTTCGAAGGACTTATTGCTGAAAGTTTACATGATTTATTGAAAACTCCAGCACCTGGTACACCTGATGAATTTATTAAAGATGCATTACATTGTCAATTAATTGAACATATTCTTACATTACTTAATCAACCATTAACTGATGTTGAAAAACCTGGTTCATGTAAAGCACATCTTGTTGATTCATGCAAATTAATGGCTGAATCATTAGTTTATGGTGAACAAGTGTCACGTATACTTCAATCATCAAGTATATGGAATGATTATAAAGATCAACGACATGATCTATTTATTCAAACATCATCACATGTGCAAGCATTAACTGGTGGTTCAGTTGGTCCACAAATTGCTGGTTATTTAACATCATCTGTATCATCAACAACAGCTGGAAAACAAAACATGACAAGTCCACCACCTTTAGTTGATCAATAAAATTAAACGAAAACAAAAATAAAATGAGATTCTTTTTCTTTTTTTTTTTTTTTATAAAACTTTAGATGAATTCCTTTCTTTTTTTTTTCTTCTGTGATAGATTTTTGTTGCAATATATATTGATTTCTTTATTCATGTCTTATGTGTATGTACTCACTGATATTATCATTCATTTATTTCTAATCTTTTTCATATATCATAACGTATGGAAAACTTTCTTCTTTTTTTTGTTGTTCTGAAAAACTCAACCGGTAATTCGATTATCTTTCTATGCGTGTGTGTGTGTGTATTTGTGCTTGATTCTTTCTTTTTTTTTTCTGTAAGATCGTGACGGATGGTGAATTATAAAATATAATCTTCGTCTTTTTTTGTTCTTATTGAATGATTTTCAAAGTAATTGACTGGACTCCGTCTAATAATATATATTCTTTTTTTATAATCTAACAAGTGAAAAATTTTACGAACTTCTATTAATTATCTAAGAATATATTTAAAGAAAGATTATTCTTATCAAATATACAAAAAAAAAAATTGAAGTAAAAATATTTCTTTTTGAATCAATGAGGACAGGAATTGTTATGTGGATTTATTTTACATTTTTCTTATTGTCAATAATATAAAGAGTTTATTAATTTTCTTTATTACTGATTTATTTCTATTCGTATAGTTATAGATCATCATGGAGGTGATTATATCAGAACCGGATGTAGTTTCAAAAAGATCTAAATTTGCTTACAGTGTTGGTCATATTCTAAATGATTTAAGTGCATCAATGTGGTTCTCATATTTACTTGTATTTTATCATCGTGTTGTAAATTTTTCAAATGCATCTGCTGGTTATTTACTTTTAATTGGACAAATAGCTGATGCTATATCAACAACATTTGTTGGTTTTGAATCTGATCGTACACGAACTGGTTTATTTCATTATGGAAGACGAAAAACTTGGCATCTTATTGGTGTTATATGTGTAATTAGTTCATTTCCATTTTGTTTTAATTTATGTATTCAATGTAAAGATAGTGATTTATGGGCACAATTTATTTATTATACAATGTTTATTATTATTTTTCAATTTGGTTGGTCATGTTCACAAATTACACATTTGTAAGTATATTATTTCTAATTGAAAAACAAAAAAAGTAGAATTTATATTTTAATTAGAGCAATGATTAATGAATTAACACATAAAGATGGTGAACGTGTTGCACTTAATTCATATCGTTATGCTTGGAGTGTTGCATCAAATATATTTGTTTATACAATGGCTAGTATTTTATTAGGTTTTCATCCAAGTAATGATGAAACTGATATAACACCAGCTGATGCACCTATATTTCGTACATTAACATTTATTGTTGTTGGTATTGGTCTTATTTGTATGATTATATTTCATGTTGGTTTAAAAGAATCTGAACAACTAGCTGAAGAAACAGAATATCGTTTACAATTATCATTAACATCTAGTGGAAGATTAAAACGTATGACATGGAAAAGTTTTTTATATGAAAAAGAATTTTATCAATGTACATTTATTTGGATGTGTGCAAGAGTCATTCTCAATGTTACACAGGTGAATATATACTTCTATATCCTTACATACTTCAAATAAGTATTGTTTATGCTTTTCAAAAGAGAGTAGTGTATGTACTTTTCTGATCTAAAATTAGAAAATACTGTAGACTTAGAATTCTTCAGGTTTCTAAATGGTACTTAGAACAACATATATTCTCGAATTTTCTTTTTGTGTAAGTCGTTTTAACTTCTCATCATGTGTGAATTTAGAGAAATTAATTTGCACAATTCTTTATTCTATCAAGAAATACATATCTTATACAGAATTTCTTCATCATATTTTTCTTTTTAAGGTATTTCTTCCATTGTATATAATTGATACAATCTCAACATTAAATCGAGTATTTGTTGCTATTGCTCCATTATGTTCGTATATTAGTGGTCTACTTGCATCTTTTCCTATGCGTACAATAAATAAACGATTAGGTCGAAAAACAACTATTATCTTTGGTCTTTGTTTTACATTAGCTAGTACAATATTATTTTGGTTTATTTTTGATTTAAAAGATCATCTACAAATTAAAATAGCATTAATATTAGCTTGTGTTTTACTCGGTATTGGAACATCAACAACAAATATTTGTTCTTTTTCACTAGCATCAGATTTAATTGGTTTAAATACAGAATGTGGAGCATTTGTTTATGGAATAATGTCATTTGCCGATAAACTTGCTAATGGTATAGTTATTGCTATTATTCAACAGTGCAATCCATGTACATTAGCTTCAACAACTAGATGTGCATTATATTATAGATATATATTAACATTTATACCGATTGGTGTTGCAATTTTAACGATTCTCATGATACTAAGTATCTGGAAAACAAATATAGGTGGTAATCGTCATGAAATAATTCAAGAAGGACAAAATGATGCACATTCAACCAATGTAGTCTCAAATGAAGATGAATCTAATGAACAGAGACCATTGATAGCTTGAGATCAATACTTTTTCTTTGCTCAGGCTAGTCAGGTTGATGAAAAAATGAATTTTATTCTGGTGTTTCTTTGTGTTTGCAATAGAAATTTTTATTTTGTTGATTGTTTTTATGTTTTACAACATTATTTTAAGCATTCCAATTTATCTCATATAAACAAATAAATCTGATTAAAGATCTGTAAATGAACTTAATAATACAAATAAGCGCATATATATACAAAGGCACTCAAAATTATTCATACAGTTGACAAATAACCTTATTATCCTAATATTTTTGCAATAATTCGACCTTTCGAGTACTGGGTTTCATTAAAATATAGCTGAAATTTTCTAGTATATTTGTTGCAGAGAATTTGAACGATTAACCATATTATTTGATATTCTTAAGCTAAAAGAGTTTCCGTTCTGCTTAAAATTATTCGTACACTTCACCTTTTATCTTTTTTCTCTATGTCTTTATGCACCTTACGCCTTCTTTATCTTGTTCATACGGTGTAGATCAGCTAGAAACGGTGACATTTAAGGACGTTGAGGTGGATGTCAGTGCTTATATTTTCTTCATACTGACATGCACACCTATATTCCGATTATCCGGAATCGATCGATAAATACAAAAACATACATCGTCGAAAAATGAATATGAGTTGAAAAAAATATTGTTACAGGAATGGAATTCAATTGAAGACGATGTAAGTGAAGTATCAGTTGATTCAATTGAGAATTGTTTACAATAATACACAAAACAACTGGGCTTTCTAACTCGATATTAATAGAATTACACAAGAAGAAAACAACGACAAGAAGCGTTTATCTGTTCATGTGCTAGTTTTTCATCGATCAAAAAATTAACAAATCAGAGTAATGTACAAACAAAGCAATACACCCATCGACGAATGGTATGCATGGATTTACTTAGGTCTGACCAAAAGTTCTAAGCACATTAAATAGTAATATAAAGATAATGAGATACTTTCAATTTTATTTTATTAAATGTTGAGAATAGTTGCCATGATTATTTATATCAAGATCAATCCTTTCGAACAATTTATTAAAAGTTGTTTTGACCTCTTTTTCTAAATGCCCATGTTTGTTTCCATATTTCATTAACAAAAGACTTCGGGTAATTTTCAATATAATAATTGTAATCTGTAGTCTTGCCTTTATCCACATTTGAATGCTTCAATTTGCCTACGAATCAACAACATGGGAGTGCTTTCATAACGGTGTGGGTGTGGGTGTGGGTGTGAGTGTGTGCGTGAGTGTGGATGTGGGTATGGGAGTAGTTCTTCAGTTAAGCCACACCCACACCCACTAGAGACCTGCAATAGACTCCGAAAAGTGACTCCGACTCCGACTCCGACTCCGTCGGAGTCGGAGTCGGAGTTGAAAACAAAAATTTTTTCGGAGTCGGAGTCGAACCGGAGTCAAACTTTTTTTTTCGGAGTCGGAGTCGGAGTCGATGTAAAATTTGATAGACTCCGAAAATTTTTTTTCTTTTCTTAAATAGCAGTTTTTTTCAAAATACTAACGTCAAGTAAACGAAAACTTGACGGAAATCATTCCAAACCAGCGGCGTACGCAGAAATTTTCCAAGGAAGGGGCCCAAGTTCTCAAGGAGAGGTCCCGTAATGGAGTTTTTAAAAAACTTGTGCTGTAGTACCTTTTTTACCCGTACTCTCCCACGGAGAACTTCTCTTCAAGAGGGAGGGGGCGCGGACCCCCTTGCGTACACCACTGTTCCAAACTACGATTAATTAAATGACTATAACTTCTGATTAGTCCGACACAGTTTGAGCTATTTCTTTTCCGATGATAGCTCTAATCGTTCTCTACAAAATTACACACTTTGATCAACTGTCTATATATGTATTTCATATAAATAACGTCAATCTAGAGAGAAGGGTCGGAAGTGTCCGACCACTCTTTATATTTAATATTTAAAAAATGTTTGAAAACTCAATCAGCTTTAGTTTTTCTATCTAATATTTTACATATCTATTTATTCATGCACAATAATCGCCAAGCAGACCTCATTTGTGATGGTACACTAACTTTAAGTTACATAATATCTCCGTACATGTGACCTGCTGCTGATTTACAATAAGAAAAATTTTCGGAGTTTTTCGGAGTCGAAGTCGGAGTCATTGAGAAAAAAAATATCGGAGTCGGAGTCGGAGTTGGAGTTATATAGGAAAAAAATTTCGGAGTCGGAGTCGGAGTCGGAGTCAAAAACGTTTGACTCCGCAGGTCTCTAACACCCACACCTACACCCACACCCACGCCCACACCCACACCCACACCCACACCGTTATAAAAGCACTCCCATGTCGTTGATTCGTATGCAAATTGAAGCATTCAAATGTAATTTTCCATCGTGTCTACATATGAATGTAAATTTTTCCATAGAAGCAACATATGACGCATAGGAAATAAGACTATGAAGTATGATTCATGAGATGTCACTTTACGCAAAAGAAAATGCCTACTTTATAAAAATATAATCATAAAATCTGTATGTTGTGAAAGAGCGTAGTAATCTTTATCAGTATAAATACAGTACAATATTGACTAAAAATCGTGCAAAACGAACTTCGCGCATTTCAGTATTATTCTACAAGTAAGTACTTTTGATTTCTAATTTCGTATAGCAAAAAAGATTCGGAGTAGATTTTGATCGAGAGCAAGCTCTTTGGGTGTGGGAGTGGGTATGAGTTTAGTTTTTCTCTTAACCTATACCTACACCGACGTCTTCACCCACATTCACACACCAAATAGGGTATAACAGCTTGTGAAGCGTACGCTTTAGACATATGACAATACCAATACGGTAATGACGTCGACCTTTAAGGTCTCAATGGATTTTTAGGGTCCCCTTTGCTTTTGAGGGTTTCAAGGAGTTTTGATCATTTATAAAGGTTTTTTGTAGTTTCGATAGCTTTTTAATCGATTTTCTATTTGTATAACGTGGCGTCCGAATTATTGAGGAACAAGACAATAAGGTTTATTTAAAAGGATTTTCAAGATTCTAATTAATTCTTTTCTTCATAGTTTATATATGTATTCGAAATTCTTTAAAATATTTTTAGAAAAATCAAATAACAAAAATAATAATTACTATAGCATTGTAATATGGAAGATACCAAACAATTTTGGGACACCATCTTGGACTATTCAGGCAGTGCAATGACATATACGCAAGCTGATTTTGAACTGTCACAAGTATATAAATGTGTGGATTCAAATCAAGGTGAACAAATCAAAGATGTAATCTCCATGGGAGTTGCTGATGGTAAAAGAGAGCCAATATCAATTTTAGATCATATTGAAAAGCAAGGTCGTGTATTACCTTCTAGAGTAATTGTCAATGATATTTCGGACACATTGTTCGATCAAGCTAAAGCTAATTTAGTCAATGGTGGTTGGGTTAAGAAAATAGGTAATGAAATCATTTATTTTTTGGGTAAAATAGATGACATTAAAACAGAATTAGTAAAGGAAACAAAAGTACGTTTGGGCATTCTTGGTGTATACAATTTAGGATATTTGCCACAGGCATTAAATCTATATCAACAGAATGCAAATATAATTGGGACAAAGTTTAATGTTTATCCAGTCTATTTGAATAATGACAAAGACAACTTAATCTTGGAACATGGTGAAACGATTACATTCGATATCACTAATTTGAGTGATGATATTATTAATCAAATTAATAATAATGTAGACCAAAGTAAGAAATTATATGCACAATGTGTATATACAACAGACAAACATTTTGTTAGTCATTATTTTAACGGTGGTGTGTTGAAAGAAGTAATCCATGGTATTTTCATTGACTATGACATTGATATTTACCAAGAAGGAGATAACAGAAGATATATTGTAGTAAAGTTCCAATGTACCAAAAACACTGGTAATGGCATTACATTAATGACATCGTTAAATAATGTCCTTGGGAATATTACAACTGATACTCAAATAAAATCATTGAGAGTATTGAAGAATTTAATAGATTAATTGAATCTTTTCAAATTACTCATCCTGAGTATAAAGGAACAAAAACCATCATACTAACTTCGATGCGTCACTAGTTTTCAATGCTTTTACAACATCATTTTTTTAAATCAGAAACTATTGATTTGTTTGTTTATTTATTATTTTTGGTGAATGTGTTTTTAACATTTTGTCAAAAACTCTAAAGATGTATAAACTTGAGAAAATAAAACTATTGCTTAATTCACAAAAGAGAACTGGTAAAGATGAAAAGAAGGAAAATAGAAAACAGATATCGTTACTTATCCTGAGTATAATGGAAGAAAAATCATTTGAAGGAGGATACTTAAACGATGACCATCTTATGACGAAAGAATCTATATGGATTAGTAAGCTCAATTCTTCAGTGTGTTCCAAAAGTTCCTACCTAAAAGTTTTTTTGAATATCTTTGCTATTTCATTTAACTTTATCAATTTCTTTTTTTTAGATGATAGGTGGACACACCGAGATATTTTTCAGCCGAATGAGTTTCAAAAATATTGCTCAAAGGTACCACCTCTCATCGAAATACAAAAAATTAATCTTTTTTCTATTTCCAGTAAAATATTTTGTAAAATTTCTTTTTTAATCGCTTCGATTTCTTCAGTTATTTTACTCTTTAAATGGTGCAGATCTTTAATTTTTGTTTTATAAACATTTGTTTTGATGTGTCTCCATAGAAAAAAATCTAATAGTGTTAAGTCAGGAGACCGTGATGCCCATGAGATGGAATCATCTCTCCCAATCCATTGAGCATGGAATTTGTCGTTCAACCAAGAGTGAATTGCTTTCAAGTAAAAAAATGTTTGTTCTATGTGTTTAATTAAGAACGGCCTCTGTTGAAGCTGGTCAGTGTGAAGGGTAGTATCTGTTTTTCTAATAGTAAGAGACCAAGCTAGTACATTTGTATTCATATAAAATCAAATACCGGTTGATTTATACTTACGAATTCAAATTGTCGTCATGTTGGCTAGATTACAATCTCCATCATTAGTGAGACGATATTTTCAATATGAAAATGTGCAAAATATTTCTATAGAGAAGACGATCAAGGCTATTTACGATAAATTTCTTGAAACTGGATGGGTACATGATAGTGAACGATCAGGAAGACCATCTTTAATAACATCCGAAAAACAAGATGAAATCGAAGAAGTTCTGTTAAACAACTCAATGAATAGTGTTCGCAGTGTTTCTCAAAAAGTGAATACGTCGAAGTCGGTGGTCCATCGTACAATGCGTGATGTTTTAGTATATAAACCATAAAAAATGCATTTAACACAAGTGTTGTACAATGAAGACAAAGATTTACGCATTGAGATGGTCGAAATTCTTTTCCCGATTTTGGATAATACCAACAATGATGATACGATCTTTTTTGTCAGATGAGGCAACATTTCATGCTTCAATGCTGGTTCATAAACAGAATTGTCGTATTTGGGCTAAAGAAAATTCTTATGCTGTTGTAGAAGTTGCGATGAACTCATCAAAACTTATTGTATGGTGTGCCATGTGAGGCAAGACAATTGTTGTTCCGGTTTTTTTTTGATGGACCAACAATCGACGAAAACAATTACCTGGATATGCTCGAAAGCTTCTTTTATCCAATCTTACAGAATAAAAGGATTACTAAAACGGTGTTTTTGCAAGTAGATGGAGCGCTAGCTCATTTCTCGAAAGCAGTTCGCTCTTGGTTGAAGGAGAAATTCGATGATGGATGGATTGGGAGAGGTGACCCCATCTAATGGGCACCACAGTGTCCTGACTTGACACCATTGGATTTTTTTCTATGGAGACACATCAAAACACATGTTTATAAAACAAAAATTAAAGATCTCGGCGATTTAAACAGTAAAATAACTGAAGAAATCGAAGCGATTAAAAAAGAAATTTTACAAAATGTTTTTTGTGGAAATAGAAAAAAGATTAATTTTTTGCATTTCGATGAAAGGTGGTACCTTTCAGCAATATTTTTGAAACTCATTCGGTTGAGAAAAATCTCGGTGTCTCCACCTATCATGTTAAAATAAGGAAGTTGATAAAGTGAAATAAAGTGGCAAAGATATGGAAATAAACTTTTAGGAGGGGACTTTTGGGACACACTGTAGAGTGCTCGGGACGATTATCTTGGATTTGGTCGAAAGCAAAAATGTTGAAAAATAAAAATGTCGAAAACTAAAAATGGTAGAAGTGCTGAAAAGTAAATATGTCAAATATCATAGTTTATAAAAGTAAGAATTTTCGCTACCTTTATCCTACTGTTACATCTTGACCTGCACTCCCATTATTGGTTTCGACATTTTTTCAACGTTTTTACTTTTGACGAAGTTCAGGTTTACCTCAGAGACCATACGTGACAGGTAGAAGTGACTAAACTTTCGAATGCCAACATTGTCGATGTTGTTATGGATATTCTTAGCGAATAGTACGAATCCATTGTGTTTGATATTTTAATCTTGCAGGAGTTGTATTGAAAGCTTTTTCGATTAGTTTCTAAAATAACAATTATTGATTGAGTAGTTAGCAATGTGACAAAATATGAACACAAAAAAGTTAGCATGAATTTTGTTCGTTCAATTTTTTTTTTCTTCAAACCGATGTATCGAACAAATATCGGTCATTTGTGATTCGAGCTATACACTAAATAAGCATGTTTTAGTTTACCGATGGCACTTCCATGGCTCTATGTCTTGCAAACTCATTATTGGCTCGTCGAGAATTCGTGCCCTATGATCAATTGGTTCGCTACAAGTGGTGGTATAGGCATGGTTACATGTCTTCCAACGGGCAATGCTTCGATATTGGTACAGCTACAAAGGAATCCATTCATGAATTCGAGCGTCGCCAAAAATACTTTGCTAAGAGCTATAACATTCCTCATAAACAATTGGATTTTCTATCGGATCCTGACCTAATGAAGAAGTTCGACGTATTTTGCAGCCATGAGGATGCAGCAGGGAACGGAGCACTAATGCGATTGGCTCCTGTACCCCTCTTTTTCCGTAAATTTCCTAAGCGTGCTGTGGAATATTCAGGCATTAGTGGCTGCATCACTCATGGTGATCAGAAAGCCTACGATGCATGTCGCTATACATGGAGAAACTAAAATGCAATTGCTTTCGGATAACTTTTACGACAATCATCGAGCGTGGTTTGGCGACAAGCCACTTCGTGATGAGATCTTGAGAGTTGCTAGAGGATCATATAAGAGACAACGCGGATACGATGATGGTATCCGCGGGAACGGATATATTGTAAATGCTCTTGAGGCAGCCTTGTGGGCGTTTTGGTGCGATGAAAATTCCTTCGAAAAGGGTGCTCTTTGTGCTGTCAACCTCGGCGATGATACGGATACCACAGCCGCTATATATGGTCAGTTAGCTGGCGCTTATTATGGTTATAAAAATCTTCCCTGCAAATGGGTAGAACATCTTTATGCCAAGCAATTCATCAACACCGTGAGTAAGTGGATTGTTTATGAAGGAGAGCTGTGGCAAACAAAACATCTGGAATGATATACCTGATATTTCGGTCAAAAAACGATAACAACCAATTCTGTTTTCTTGTATTTTGTCATTCCTGCTGGACTTTGTGACCATATAGCGAAACAAAAAAATTATTCAATTAACCCTACTACTTCTCTCTGTTTCAATGTCTTCCGATTCTCTGAATAAATAAATCAACGAGATAATTGATTATCTTTTACTTTGTCTATTGGGTGAAGAAGCGAACCTTTAAACACTCATCAGCTTAACTTTTGAGAGTAGACTTGTGTGAAGTGTGCATGTGCGTCAGGTGGAGGTGGCTCTGAGTATGTAAGTGTAGATAACGGTAAGTTCCAACAGAACACACACTTACCTAACGAATTCAAAATATACTCATATCATCAATAACACTTTAACCATATGGTTAACTCATTGTTTTAATTTTTTTCTATTATTGCATCTGTATCTAAACATTTTGTATATATTCCTGACATAATATGGAATCCATTCTAATAAAATTAATGGAGTCTTCTGCGCATTTTCATTAACATGCAAATCTGGAAAAAAATTAGCCAATTATTTAGTCACAACGACTGACAAAAGATTCTTTGCAAAAATTTTCATACCAAAATTACAAACACAAAGCATCAAAATCTAGATATTTGTCTTATAAAATTATTTGTAATCGAATATAAATACTCCTTCTTTGTCATGTACGAATTGACATAATTTATAACTTGAAACAGAGAAAATTCATATACTTTCTATGACAAAATACAAAGCTGCGTAGCATCAATATAAAAATTTTTGCAAAAAATCAAAATATACGTCATGCTCAGGATAAGCGGTGTTAGATGTAACCCTACTTTAGTATGTGAGCAACGAAAATGGTATAGATTCTTCTAGAAATATTTATGAACAAATGTTCGTCATCGAAGTCTTCGGGCATTAATGATAGACTAATCTTTCGCGAACGTTTTTGTACAGTAACGACACCGTTTAAGACATTCGAAGAAACATGCAAGAAGTAGTGCATGAAGTTTCTTTTTTGTCAAAAATTTTTATAGTTTCTCGAAAAATATCATTACAGTGTCTTATAAAATTAATTATCCCTTGATTAGAAAACGAATACTACTGCTAAAACTACACTTGAATAAAAATTATGGTTATATGATGGCTCATAAATTTACTGATCTTCTTTTTGGTATATTTTTTGACATCACAGCACCGATTGATGAATATTTATCAATTATGATTAGAAACATTGATTACCCATTGTAGTCGATTATCGAAACGAAAATAAAGCTTTTGATGGCCAGACAATATTACAGTTCGTCAACACAAACTAGATCTTATTTCGATAAAAATAGTTTGAGCGCAATTCCTTTTTACCGGAAAAACGATCGATTACATCTCATTTCTCGACAGTTGTTACATCCGAAGTTATTTCACTTTCTTCCTGTAGTGATTTTATAACTACAATAAACTGAACAATACAATAAAAATACTGATCAGCCTATTCTATAACAAGCTTTAGCACTATGATAACAGCAAAAATATGTCGTATTGGTTCATAGTAATATAAAATAGTTTCACATAAAAAAAGTTTAATACAGTACGACTTTTAATGAGTTGTAATTTTCGCAGATATAACTGTTTCAACTCTCAATTTTCGTATAGACGACAATATTTAATGAACCATTCTCAAATTGATATCAATAATTAGTTCAAATTTGAATAAAATACTCAAAAGCAGTCAATCATATTGAAAAAGGAAACAATTCGCGAATTGAGGGTACAGCTGCACCTAAGTTTTAGCACTATTCCTTTCATGTTCTGACATAGCCTTTAATAATCTTTGGACAGTTGATCTTTCACCATTAAATATATATTCATATGTAGAGAATAACAACATTTCATTGACTTCATTAAGCATCTTCCTGTGAAATACATACGACACTAGTGTTCAGAGGTGCAGAATCTACCCGTGTGCGCGTACGGCCGTACGGGGAAATTTTTGAAAATTTATTAGCATCTGGGGAATTTTTTTGGAAAATATATTTCCCTCGTAGGAAAATAATTTCCCCTCGTAGGAAAATAAGTTTTCTCGTAGGAAACTATTTTTCCCTCGTAGGAAAATAATTTTTCCTCGTAGGAAAATAATTTTTCCTCGTAGGAAAATAATTTTCCCTCGTAGGAAACTATTTTTCCCTCGTAGGAAAATAATTTTCCCTCGTAAGAAAAATCTTAGTTTTCTAAACAAATCTTAGTTTATTTATATCTGCATCAATAAGAGCTTGCATCTTTTTTCTTTCTTTTATTTTTGTTAAACTTTTAAAAAGAATCACCCGTGTCTTTCTCGTAGTGCCAATATCGTCTATTTTTGTTTACAGTGATCTTGCATCTTACTACTTTTCCTTCGCTCTTTCTCTTTGAGCGAATTTATGACATAAAACACATTATTTGTTTTCTCCTCTTTTCATTTTGTTCTTTTTCCTAAGTACAAGTTGGAAGATTACCTGAACCAGACGATATTGAATAATAAGTTTCTTTTTTCCAAAAGTGTATTTGCAATTTGTTGTGTAGTCGTAGTTATTCTTTTTTGAATAAACATCATCTTTAACGGGGAAGACCCGTTTTTTCATTGAATTCTATAGTGGGGGAAGCTTTTCATAAGAAATTTGCGGTTTGGGGAAATTTTTTATTTTAGCGGCAGATTCTGCACCTCTGCTAGTGTTTGAAAATAGTGAAAAATGAACTCGTGACTTTCATCACTTTTATATTAAAAAGTGAAAAGCATGGAATTTCGGTTGATGAATTGCACTGTGAAATTAATGTATATCAATTTCATTGATTGAAATACATATTTTAATCATATGCGAAACAGTAATCATTGGTTTCCCATCAAGTCAAAATTGAATCGGAGATACAAATTTTTGTTCAAATACTAAACTACCCCTCTATTGCAATTGATTTTATAAAATTGACGAACGTGTATTATTTTGTCAACAAAAGTAGTACGATTAGTACTATTTGAAACTTGTTGTTTACCTACATATAAACGAAAAGGAAGATGATTGCCTCTTGCAGCATGGTTCTCCTATAGTGAATCAAATGGGATTTGGAGAAAAGACCAAAAAGACATGTGTCGAAAATGACAACGGTTTTTCTCTTGCAAGATGATTAATCTAATGTCTCTTTTTTTGCTTTGTATTGTAAATGACAAGCGTAAAAATAAAAATCGACTAGAATCTCATTTTTTCATTTTTCCGATCAGTAAAAATGTTGATGTACGATCTTTCTGTCTCACTGTTCCACTGTAACCGAAAATATCAGTGAATGTATGGGTCAATGGAGAGACAATCCCAAAAGAGACACAATATTTTTTTCCTACTGACATATTTTCCAACGTTCAACGGTTTCCATCAAGATCAATTGAATGAGTTTGAACTCGAGACACTTAATATGTTTCAACGCAATCTCTTGGTCAAGTCTCTGAGAAACGAATGAGAGAGGTAAACAAAAAACAGTACCTCATCGAGTATCTGTTACTCGGTTTATTTCTCTGCAAATCCGTGGAACATTTTACACGAGGAACCAATGAACCGATATGAAATACAAGCGATCGAATTTGGTTCTAACAGTAATATATTAATGCTCAGGGTTAAAAGTGGTTGGAATCATTTGATGTTTTCCTGCTCATATGACTGATTTACTCTTTTTAAACCTGTTTCGTTTCAGATCGAGTACTGTCTTTCGACATCGACATTTTATCGCATACAACAAGTATGTTCTAATAAAGTATTTGCTCGTATTGTAACAATAGAGATCATCAATAAAGAAGAAAACGCAAGAATGACTTCGTACATTCCAATTAAGAGCTTTATAGAGATTTGTTTCAAGTGTTAGAATATAACGCAGCAGTTCGCAATGATAAACTCACATAGAAATAGAAAAGTTCTCGGATATGCGTACTTTATTCCGTAGCTTCTTTGAAATTTATGTTCATCTCAATTCGAAGAACTCATCTCACTCTTGACAAGTATCAGTGAATAATTGCTTCGTTTCGGCTAACTTTACGGTCGTTCTTCGGTCTCTTTCTTCTAACGATAGATACATCATCGCATGTAGCAAGAAGAAAAAGAAATTATTGGCTTCGTGAAAAGAAATAGACACAGCAGCAAGATAAGTGGGTGATGGAGAATGTATAGTGTGAGTACCTTTCTAATTATTTGTTCAAGACTATATATGGAGAACTTTGTAATGTGCTTATTAGGAGTTTTCTTCTAAGAAAAAAGAGAATAAAGGAAATGATCCCACAAAAAAGACAAAGCTGCTATTCGGATCAAATATCATAGTTTCAAGTATAAAAGTTTCATGATGAAGTCTTCAAGCCAACATAAGAAGTTTTTTCGTGAACGTTCCTTATTCGATAACGGCAGCCTAAGATTTTCTGCATGATCATTTTTAAAACTTATGGGATTCTTTAGTGTTTTTTTTTCAGACAAAGGCGTGTGAATCAATATATTAATAAGCACTATCTTGTAATTGTGATCCAAGCTGTTTTCTACAGTTTTATTTAATCGAAGAAAAGACAATATTAAAAATTTGATTTAATTATGTATTGTAATATTATATACTAAGCTCTTAAGAAAAATAGTCTCAATATTCGATTCGTACGTGTCATCTTATTTTCAAACAAATAAGAATATAATGCTCACCGAGACAACAACAAAAAGAAAACGAAATCACATACAAATAAAATATAAATAAATAAATGACGAAAGACAAAAAAGTTTTTATTTTAGTGTTGATGATGGTAATAATCCAAGCCATACGTGTGGTTTACTTGCTCGTTGTTGTTCTTGTTGTTGTTTTATTTGTTGAACGACTAAATCAACTTCACCATCAGTTTTTAAATGTAATTCTTGTCGTTGTAATGGACTTGTAAATGGACTAACATAACCAACGACAACTTTATAAACTTTACCTCCACGTTTAACTTCATATGTTGTCGGAACTGTTTGTGGTCTTGATAACTTTGGTTTATTAAATTGTTGTTGTGGTTGATTTTTGTCTCCTTGAAAAGAAGATGATTTGAAAGTTGATGATAAATCTGTAGTTTGTCTATGCAATTGAGTATGAATATATGATGGTGGTCGATGAACAATTTCAAACAGACTCTGTGGAGATTTTGAACGAGTTGAAACTGATTCTGTTGATGGATAAAAATTATGTTGAGATTGTGAACGAAATATACGTGTTTTTAAATCAAATCGACTTGGTGATGAGGGTGGACGATCGATGAGTGTTAATGGACTAGGACGATGTTCAGCATAAACAGTATCATCTTTACCTAGATAAAATAAGAAATTTCTTCTTCAATAAATCTTTTCTAAACAGAGACTTCACATTTGAGCTTATCTTTTTCGTTTCAAAATATTCATCTTATAAAAAAATTCTTATGTGTTACAAAATGAAAAGAAAAAGAAAAAGATCAAGTTTTTGAAAAACGATTTAATATCATCAGAAAGATTAGATTTAGTTAGTATTAAATGTTCAGAATATTCTACTAAAGAAGCCAATTCAATGGACTAAAAATTTTTTCATTTGATTTTTTTTCAAATTTTCGAGAAACAATCGGTAAACTGTTAAAATAAAATACACCTTGAATTGCTAGCATTCAATATTTTCATTTTTCATATCATATTGAAAGAGAGAAAACTAGAATCAATCAACTTACTCATAAGTAATTGATTTTACAAATGGTAAACGATAAAATTTCTGTTACCTATATAGCGAGTAGTATTTATATACTTTTTGTTTTTTGAGTGTTTTTCATTTAATATTTTATACCGGAAAAAATAAACGACCTCAAAATTGACTTAATTGTTACTCTTGAATTTCTTTTTTTTTGCTTTCATTACTTACTTTTATCTGCTCTATAAAATGGTGATTGTTCAATAATACGAAATTCTTCTGGCACTAATTTTTGTTTTTCATCAACACCACCACGCATTTGTCGTTTTAATAATTCTTTGGTTTGTTCTAATGTTAGATTAACTCCAATATTTTCATTATCAAATAAAACAGTTATTTCTTTTTTTTTCTCATTGATTGATTCATTCTTTTGTATAACTTTTGATATTGATGTTTGTCTTCGTTTAATACTTAAACTTTTACGTTTAGTTGCTGATGTTGATAGTATTGGTGGTGTAGGTGTTTTTGTTGCTGGTGCTCTATCTTCTTCAAGTGTATAATCAAATTTAACTGGTTCGAAATTCATTAATAGTAAACTACTTCGTGTATTAATAAGAATTCTACACAAAATAATAAACAAAATTGATAAAATACTAAAATTAAAAAAAGAATAAATAAACCTATTCGGTGTTGCTGTTAGACTAGTAACTGGATCAGAAACACTATTACCACGCATAACACGTAAACAAAATCCGCTAAGTATACTCCAAATACGTATTTTTCCGTCAGCACAACCAGTTAATATTCGAAGATAAAGAAATTCAAGACATAAAACTTCTCTAATTATAGGAAAAAAAACCCCATAACAGACATTTTATCAACTATTGAAATTAATTTATTGTTTTATTTACTTTGGATGACGAAATGTACATAAAGGTGTATTTAATGGTCCTTGTGATGTCCATACACTAGCATAATTATCATGCGATGATGATGCTATATGCCATTTATCAAATTTAACATCCGTAATTGATAAACGATGTTTAATAGACTATTAAAATAAACAGAAAATTTTTTTTTTCGTTTTTTAGTTTTATATTTTTGAATTACTTTAATAAGTGCTCCAGTTGGATTATGCCAAACTTTTATCTTTCCTTCAATATCACCTGATAATGTCATATCATCACTAATAGCAACAGCTGATACAGGATGTTTATGTTTAAATGTTCTCCATGGTCGAGTGTGTTTATATCTCCATACTAAGATTTTTTTTTAAATTTTTATTAATAAAATAAATAAATAAATTTTAAAATTTTTACCCAAACAAAGATTGTCATTGCCACCAGCAGCAATTAAATCAAGAAAAACAGCTAAACAAGTTACTGTTCGTTCATGTCCATGATATAATTTAATACAACGCCCTGTTTCTATATTCCAACAACGAACAGTTAAATCATAACTACCCTATGTTTTTTTTTGTTGATTTAAATACAGATATTAAATTTCAGATTTTTTTTTTTTGTCAAAACAAAATACCGTAAATATACGTTTTTTATTCTCTTGTACAACAATACAATGAACAGATGCAGCATGTCCAACTAAAACTATTGGTCGTTCTTGTGCTGATTGCATATCAATAAGTCGCACTCGACCATCACGTGATGTAATAGCTACAACATTTTCACCACTCATATGTACAATACGATGACGATCCGAACTAGACATTAATAAAATGAATAAAGAACAATAGAATCAATTCATTATTATAGATTAAACAACGATTAAATTAAGAATGTACAGAGGAAATGGGTAGCAGAACATTGATTGGAAAGAATTAAGGAAAAGCATATATATATATAAATTGTCAGATGACTAATCTAGAAATTTTTATTCACTTACGAAGCTATTTTTTAAAGTAATTTGTAATGATTAAAGAACTAGAATGGATTAAAAAATATAGAAAGAATCTTGTAACACAAAAAAAAAACTAGAATTCAACTTGTCATAGAAAACTTCTCGTAAGTTATAAACTTTTAAATGAGTCCATTTCACTTGAACTTTATTTTCTCGAAGGTATGATATCGAGAAAATTTTCATATGAATTCATCAGATAGCACATATAGCATATTTCAAATTAGTATAGACATTTTTTTTATTGAAAAAAAAACGACTCATTCAACATCATTAAGTAAAAACTCGATTTGTTTTTTATTTGTCGTTTCCTTCCATGTCTACGGATCAATATACTTAAATGTTGATACTCATAAAAAATGTTGCCCTGGATTTTAACAATTATTCAATCTCATTCTCAAGGTATTGAATATATAACATATATTATACTAAAGTAGTTTATACAAGACGGAAGAAAGTTTAAGAGAAGCAATGACTACACTTGATGCATCGCTCATGCTCGGTTCAATTTAATACGTTTCATTATATATAAAATTCTCAGTTCGATATATCCATTAGAAAATACTTAAAATTACTATCAACGAAAGTCAAAAAATTGTATGCTAGTTGATACATTTTGTCTTCTTTTACAAATTTATAGTATTTATTTTTCCAAATTTTATACGACATATTGCGATGAAAAAAAAAATGTTGAAATTTCATATCAAATAACAAAACAAAATTTTCGAAATGATATCTATATCATTTTTCGTATTACACCTTTCAAAATACAAATATCAAATATCAACGTTTTCATAGTTAGTTGCATATGACCTATTTTATTCCATATATATATTAGAAAATAAATCATTGTTAAATTTTTTTTGTACTTAAATTTCACTAAAAAAGAAAATCGATCATTTCTTATAGCAAAAACATCCAGTTTTGCCATGTACTTTTACAAAGCATTTAGTAAAGACATCCTAAAGTTAGAAAATATTTTTTCTCATCATGCAACAATATCAAAATGTTGTTTTTTCCTCTCTTTCGGTCTTCATTAACAATAATGCATTAATATAGCCTATAGGCTTAAAAAAATAATTTATATCAATTTATATCAAAAATACTTATGGCATTTTATTCATAATTATTTTAATAAATTTCTATTAGAAAAAACAACAACTTACTCATCTTTAAGTAAAAGTACATTATATGGACCACAATAAACATTTCGTTCTTCCATTAAAACTAAACGTGTAGGAATAGAATTTCCTTCATAAATTTTATTCCATGTTGAAATATTTTTATCATTTGATGTCTTTTTTCTTGCTGATGCTCTTTCAGTTTCATTAAGTCGAAATAAATCCGGAACAGGTACAAGCGTATCACGTGCAAAATATGGATTACATTGCAAAGCAGCAGAACCCTATATATATATATATACAAACAATTAGTTTTCAGTTAATAGAGAAGTCAAATTGTTTTTTTTTAAATTTCATTATCAAACAGTGCAGTGACTGATTGAGAGGAAAAAAAAAGGTGCTCAATTTGTGTGTTAATTCAATTCTATTGATATTCTTACACGATATGCAACAGTATCGATTGTTTTCTCCTATCTTTTTCTAATGACGTATTTTGTAATAAAAAATTTCAAGAAATTTTACCTGTAAAAGCATCATATCATCATAAAGCATTTTAGTCATTGTTGCTTCATCTTCAACTTCCATAGCCATTTTTTTCCAATAAATTGAAACAAGTTTACATTTATCAAGAGATTTTGTATCAAGCATACATAAAATTAATTTAGCTAAATAAATTGGTAATTGTCTTATAAAATCTTTAAATTTTGGTGGACGTTTTGGTGGTATTGGTTGTTCATTATCAGAATCAATAATATTCATTGTTGAAGATGCAAATGAAACTGCACTTTTTTGACGCATTGATGAGGAAGATGTTGTTTTTGGACGTTTAAGAATAGGAACCGAAGGTGGTAGCATCGAAAAAGAAGACGATGGGATACTTAATGCAGATGAAAGTCTTAAACGACTATTATTATTAGTATCACTTCGATGATCTTCATCTTCGGCTATAAAATTTTTCATAAATAAAAAACAAATTGTTAACAAAAACTAACTTACAATCCATATCTTGTAATGATAATATATTCAATGCTATTGTAAAAATTAAATAACTTTCACACCATTGAAGTATAGTTAAGATAAATGAACCTTGAGAATATTTATCTTCATGATTAAACCATACAATAAGTTTTGTGGCTTCTTCTTGTCTTTTTATTGGATCACTATCATCATTCATATTTGTATTATCTGTTGATAATCGTGAACCTGTATCAAATTTATTTCTTGTATATGTATAATCTATATATAAATAAGTAATGATTTTCTTTTTTTTTTTTATTCATATAAAAATAAAAAAACCTTTTGCATCAACAAATGGTTTAAGAATTTGTGCTAAATGATTGAGTATATCAGGTTTAAGACGATTAATTAAAGCAAGAAGAAAACGTCGTTTAATAAGATCACCTGTTTGTAACCACCATTCTTTAGCTGCATGAATATGAGCATCAACTTGACATGCTTTACATTGACCACATTGATTATATGGTTGATTCGATGAACGACATGTAACATTAAATGCATCACGAAATGATGTTAAACCATCACGTATAGCAGCATGAATATTATCTTGTTCAAAACTATTTTCATATGATGATTTATGATCTTCCATGTCTAGTTAGAATGAACTGTCAAGACATGAGAAGTTATGTTTAAAACAAAAAAAAAGACAGCTGCCATTTTTGTGTTACACAAATATGATTACCATAGTTTTTTATTTTACATTGACTACCATGAGATGGCGATAGAAAACAGATGAATGGGACACTTTGTTAAAATTTATTTTGAGAAGAATATTAAAATGTGATGATAGTTCTAAGAGTGAATAATTTTATAAATCATTATCTATAAATAATGGGGAAAAAAACTGAACATAACGTTAGATAATACTTATGAGAGAACCCCTTGAGTTACCCCCTTCCGATTATAATGATTTTTTGCCTGTCGATAGTACATAGTGTTTTAATCAAAACTCAAAAGGACTTGGATTTTAACTAAGCTATCGAATTGTTTAAGATGTCTGCTTTCTAGAAGCTCAAAGTTTTTGAAAAACTTGTATTTTGAATGTCGCTCTAAAACTTTGTGCATAGAGAGAACTCAACTATACTAGCTTCAATAAAAAAAAATTCAAAAGTTTTAAAACAAGTCTCTTCGAAATATGAAGTTTTCAATAAATGCAAGTTGAATACACTATCCATGGAAAAGGATCCATATTTCGAAACGATCTTGTTGAAAATATCAGAATTTTTCTATGAAAGCCAATCTAGTTGAGTTTTCTATATAGACAAAGTTTCAGATTAAAATTTGAAAATACGAATTTTCCAAAAATAGGCATAGTAAAAATTCGATCATTTAGTTAAATATCGATAGAAACTCAAATCCTTTTAGGATTTGTATTTAAAACATTATTTAGTATCTATAGATAGGCAAAAAATCATTGAAATCAGCAGGGGGCAGTTGAAGAGGTTCCTTCGTTAGTTCTTTTTTTATTGTATTAAATTTCAATCAAGTTAAGTCAATTATTTATTTAAATGATTTTCATAGAGTATTATTTTACCTAAAAATTCATCCATATCTACTCACTAATATCTACTAATTCTTAAAATACAAATTCTTTTTTTTTTTGTGGTTACTTCACTACCTACTTGATTTCTTTGTGCTGAAAATAATGATGATCAAATGACGTACAAATCATACACAAAATTATGTCTACACAAATATAGTTAGTTGAAAGTGAAAATAACTCTGTGTATGTTGAGTTTTGTTATTCATGATGGTAAAAGAAAAACAATAAGTTGTTGTTTAACTTAGAGAAAACCAACTAAAATAAAGTAAATAAAACCATACTAGTAGATTTATTCGAGGACTAATGACATAACCATCATATTTTTCTATCTGAGTTAAAGAAAACGAAAAAAAAAAGCAAATATTTGTACTCTTTCGATCGTTGACAAACATCTGTTTGATAATATTTTATTTTCAATTTCTAGAAGTTAATTAATGAATAAAAAGGAAAAAAAAATGATAATCCTCTTTAATATTTCTTTCTGTTCATAAATTTAAAGTTCATTAGCTAATTTTTTTTGGTACAGCTAATTCATTGATTCTTGGTGATGCTTCATATTTAAGTGCACTATCTGGCACATGCCGAGGAAGAGGTAATTCATATTGATAATTTTTATGTCGTTTGACTGGTAATGCTAATTCATGTAAACGTGATGAACAATTAATACGTGTTGCTGCTGGAGTTACACCTGAATATGTTGGATTACTCATATAACGAGAAAAACCTAGAATTAGGTTTTTTTTCTTTTTATATTTTCATCTAAATAAAACAAATATTTAAAATTTTACCATCACGAATAGTTGTTTCTCTACGTAATTTTGGTTTTGATAATGATCGAATTCGATCTGTTGCTTGATAATTAAGTGCTGACATTGATACACTTGTAAATGGTGATCGTTCATATTGATAAACTTTTCGTTCATCAGATTTCATCGAATAAAATGATGATGAAGCAAAAGCCATTATTCTCATACAACAACGTGACAACTAGCAATAGACACGACTTGAAATGACAAACAAAAAAACATGTAAAAGCACTTCTTTTTTTTTTGTTACAAGTATATGTTGCATTGTACATCTCTCTGTGTGAAGTGTCAAGTGGAAGCAAAAAGAAAAGAAGAACACACAAGAACAGCAACAACAATATTTGCAAAACATCATAATAATGGTTCGATTGAATAATTGATTAAATTTAAATTTCTTTTTTTTTTTTTGTTTTAAAGTTTTGTTGTTAATAGTAAATTAAGATTTCTATACAGAGTGTATCTCTTGCTAACAATTATCAGACAAATTGAATATTGTTTGAGACAAGTAAATACTTTCATATGTTACAGTACGAATTAAATATATACTTTCAAGTACAGTTAAAATGAATGTTTTGTTACTAGAATAATATGAATACTAGGTGTACTTATTTTTTCAGTCACAATAAACTATAATAAAAATTTTTTATGCTGGACATTTTTCAATACGAAGCAATGGATATTTATAGAAATAAAAAACACGATTGTCAATAAAATTATCAAAAAAGAGAGAGAGAGATAAAATTTATGTATCTGATGTGTATAATAAAACTCTTGAATTTATTCAATCAAATTTTGAAGTATCGGAACATTCAGATCAATTCAATGATATAAAGAGTGTCTAATAAGTCTTGATCCACTCAAGTAATATTCTTTTCTTATATATTGCTTCAGTGGAATAGGCTGATATTTATAATATATATACATACACTAGACGTCGATATCTAATCTACACTAGAATTTGAGCTTTCTACCTCTTATAGTGCAGAGATAAGAGAAATGTAAGATCCATAGAAATTTATTGAATTAGTTTTAGAAACATTAGTAATGGGGAAAAACAATTATAATTATTAACATCATTCATCCACACGATTATTAAGAGAGAAAAATTGCACAATTTATTATTTTTTTCTGATGACTGTAGCAAGGAGAAATAACAAAACATGTGAATGAGTTACATAGGCATACAAATTGATTTTTACTGACTAAGTAAATTGATAGACAACTGCCGGCTTTTTTTTTTACTATTTATTTCTTTTTGTTTCTGTTGATTCTTTTAGTCAGTTTACTATGATTTTTTTAAAGATGAAGAAAGCAAAGGCAGGTAATTTAAGAATAGAAAATGTTTATTCCAGTAAAATGTGAGAAGAAACTAATGGAAAACTACCGAGGCGATTGAAACATGCAATAGAACAATCTGAAAAGCAGATACGTTAACAGTGACAAACGTTTTTTTTTGCTTCTTTTTATGTTTCAACAAATTCCCTATAAGTCATTATTTTGATTTATAATTACTAATAAAATTTCTAAAACGAATTCAAAAATTCCTATGAGTTTTATGTTACTTTTATTTCAATGATTACCACTGAGGGAATATAAAAGAAAAGAATATTAATTCAGGGGATCAAAATTTATTAAAGATCTAATAGTAGTATTTAACAGAAAACACTGGGAACTCTTTCTTTGATTTTCTTCTTTCACTAGTCTTGAAACATATATTAAGTCAAAAAATCTTCACGACAACTGAGACATTTTCTGAAAAAACAAGAGCTTTCAAACAAAAAAACATATTTGAGTTTATCACTTACTGTAATAAGATACTACTGAAGATGCATTATTGAACAACTGCTGTAAAAAAAACTAACTTTTATGTCGAAAACTTCGCTTTTAATAGGGACATGGTTCAAAGCCATAATGATTATGAAAGTGCACATCGAAATATCTAACTATGCTTTTTCAAAAAAAAGTGAGTTTGTGACGACGATAGATATTTTCAAGGACCTTAAATCATACTTTTAGCTATTTTTGACTTGTCTTTCCGTACAATTGTAAGAAATATGCATAGTTTACCATTGGTGCAATCGTAGATTGGTCTCTCCGACTTTAACAGTTCTCCAGTTATCAGTAAAAAGTTTTCGGTTCCGATTTCATCCTGTTTTATTTCACGGTCTCGGTTCCGGGTAAGAGAAACTGGAAAATTCCGGTTCCGGCTTAGTTTAATTTGTTTCAATGCCGATGGGCTCCATGCTTTTTATAGAGATCGAACAATAATTCGATGGTATATTCATTGTGAATTGCTAATTCTTTCTTTGTTATCTTTAATTTCGGCTATTCATTGGTTTACGCTAGTCAAAGAAAATTTTTTCAATTGGAAGGAGAGGCGTAGTTTCTCTTCGACGCATTTCTGATGTAACTCTAAAATGATTTCGATTTAAACCAACCAATAAGAATAGTTTACAAGTTAATTACAAATTTGACAAATATTATAATATTTTACATTTAGAATTAAATTTTTAGGATAATATAAAACAAGTTTAATAGAATCAATTACAATTCATTTTTATTTTCAAAAGACAAAAACAAAAATAATAATAATAATAATAATGATAATAATAATTTAACTCATTAAAAACAAACTTTGAGCTTTGACATACAATTTTTTGTATCCACTGTCGATGATACTTTCAAAGTATCATTTATTTAAATATATAAAACACAAAACGAAAGAAAAAAAAACGAAAATCATCTCTACAATTGTCTTATTTTCTCGTATTTCATATATATACATAAACATAAATGCATACAACATCAAGTATAATGTTTCGATCTGTATGACTAGATAAAATAAAAGGATAAAATCCTTTATTGGAATGTTCTACTAGAAACACAAAAAAAAACTGTTCACGAGAAAGATTAAAAAAAATAACAAACATAGACAAAAAGAAAATCAATTTTGTATTATTGATCGTTCATGAATATCCGCTCGACATATTGGACATACATCTAATTTATATGCACATTGTTCACATAATCCTGTATGTTGACATGGTTTAAGCATTATATTAGCATGTAAATCTACACATAATAAACAATCTTGTTCATTAATTTGTATTGAACGTAATAATTCTAATTTTTTATATTTTGGTAATATAAGTTTATCATTATCTGATAAATAACCATATTCATTAAATGTTTTAAAATTTTTTACTGTTATTGGTGGATAACGAAATGGTTTTGAACCAAAATTAAAACGACAATGTTGATAAGACATAAAACTTGCTGCAGCAAAATAACCATCAGTTATAGAGTCTGATGTAGATGTAAATAATTTACGTAATGGAGCAAGTGAACGACCATTTAAAGAGAAAATTACTTCACGACGATCGAAATCAATTAAACATCCTTAAAAGAATTTTTTTTTGAATTTAATTTTCCAAAATAACAAAAACAATATTAAAAAAAAACCAAGCACTGTCACATTTAAACTAGAAAATTTACTCGCACGTCAAGTTCACATATATATATTTTAACTAACGAAAATGATAAGTAAGACAGGGATGATAAAAAATAGAGTACCTTTACACCAACTTCAGAAGATGACAAGCGGAGAATCACATTTTGTGAATGCGAATACATCGCGCTAAAAGTTATTCAAGAACTTATCGATAGCAAAGTCTATGTCATAAAGCTTTCAGATGGCTTAAGATCATTCTTGACAATGAAAAAAACTAAGATTTTCAAGACACATGAAATTTGCTTTTTTTTGGAGATTGAAAATTCGATATCTCTTGAATGAAAGCTGATGGATCTGAAATATTTTGAGGTTTTCCTATACTCATCGACAGTTTACCTGCTGGCCGAAATCTCAACTCAAAAGTACTTCAGCAGTTAGAGACTTCTCCTGATAAATGATTGATTCCTTCATATTATCTAATATGAAATCAGAATATGCAACAATAAATTTTCAAATTAGACAATTGTTGATTTTATTTTTGTGAAAATTCTAAAGAAAATCTTACCAACAATATCTCCTGGTTTCCAAGAAGGATTTGAATGTCTTATTGATTTTGCACCAAACCATATTAAATTTCTACAACCATCATAGGCTATAGAATATTGATCATCACCAATACCATAACCTTCATGATTCATAAATTTTGATTTTTTTGTTGCCCAACCAATTTGCATAACACCATCAGTAATAATAAGTACTTCATAATACCAAACACCTGAATTAACATTAAATGTACATCGAACACTTTCAAATGATACACTATCACTACGAGCTTCAAGACCATCAGGACCAAGTTTTAAATATTCACTTACATCTTTATCATTAAGCATTACATTTATATATCGATGATCAATTTTTTCATATGATGGTCGACGATAATCAAGTATAAATACATTATCAAGTAAACATTGAGCATAAAAACCTTTACAAAAGAATAAAATAAAATAAAAGTTATGTTCTTTTATTTTTCTTTCATACCAATTTGTCGTTTAAGACAATTATTTGATAACGCCCATGGTTCATAATATTCTAATACATTCATTTTTGATTGTTCATTATTAGAAATTGTTAATGATTGTAATAAAATATGTTTAGATTCAGATGTATGAGAAAATTTTTCAAGAGCTATTAATGCAAATAAAATTATTTTTAATACAGATGAATATTTTGATGAAACATTTCTATCATCGAAATCGAAAGATTTTAATTTATCATAACCATATATACCCAAATAAATTCGATCAATTAAATATTCAAGTGCAATTGTATCCAACATGGATGCACTAGTTGGACCAACTATAAATAATCGTAATAAAAAAAATTAATATTTAATAAAAAACAAGACTAACCAAGTTTTTCAGCAAGACATCCAAGTACAACTAATGTATTACGTTCATGATGTAAATTATAATGAGATTCACGTTGATTAGATATATCAGATATCTTCATTCTCTTGTTAGGAGATGTTGGACGTTTTGAAGAACGAAGATTGGTAAATGATGATATTTTTTTTACCCTTGAAAAGAAAATGTACAATATAACGAAATTAAAAGATTAAATATTTGAATCAGTAAAGTAAAGCTTATCCTAGATTATACATTCTCAAATGGTATTATCATGTTCTGATGGTAGAGTTTAACGGTTCCAAAAAAAAAAACTAAAACCAAATCGAAAACGTTTAACCATTGAGCAGCCACAAAATTTCTTAAGTCTATATCGAGAACTCTTCATATTTTCATTCTTGAGATTAAAGACTTCAGTATATATGTATAGTATTGTTTTGTTTAACTACTGAAATACGTGGCGTCTTTAATCTCAATAATTCAACAGTGAAAATTTCTCAAAATTGATTTAATAGTTTCGGTTTCCGGTAATTTTTGGAACCATGGAACTCGATCTGACGTTCTGCTTCATAGTTAGTAAGTCGATCGGCGAAGTTGTCGCCACGAAACAAAAATAGATATTTGATTTTTGAAAATTTTCGATGTTCCAAATAAATTTTTGAAGATGTTATATTACTGTCTGGTTTGTTGTCAATAAGTTCTCTACTATCATTTTCTCTCTTTTTCATTTCGAAATTAAGAAATTTTTTAAAAACTTCATCGAAAAATTTCAACCACTGTCGTTATTGATCGATGCATCAGCTTACATGTCTACTTCTTCATATCCAAACGTAATGATAATTCATTTTTTTGTTTTTTTGATAATGAAATCTTTTCTATGAAAAATATCGTTCGTAGAACTGAAGAGAATCGATATATATTGAAAGTATTACTAAACAATGACTTATTTTCTAGAACATTAATTTACTCAAATTTTGAATTAGAAAATGATAACAGTGACATGAGACCTAAATAAAAAAATGATTTACTTTTCTTGTAATGGTTGTTGATCAACACTATCACATATATGATTATTTATAACTGATGTTGTTTCATTACTAGCAATATTTTCATCATAATTAATATTTGTTACTCGACCAACATTTGTTTGAATCGATGAACTTATTGTATGTTTTTCTAATTGTTTACTAATTTGTGTATTAGTTATTTTTTTAATATGTTCATCAATAATTGTTTCAAGTATTTTTATTTTCAAACGATTATTTGAACATATTTGTTTTATTAATTGTTGTAATAATTCTTTTGATGGTAATGAACATTCATCAAGTAATAAAGCAATAACTGTTGCACCTAATGGATCATTTATTGGTACACGTTCAATTAATGCAATCATTACTTCTAACCATCGATCTTCATGATTAGCAATACGTGATAAAATTAACATAGCATGTGGTGGTTCTTGATCTGTATCAGCAACTGTTCGAACAATTAAAAGTGTTTCATCAATAAGAGAATTTAAATTATGTCGTGAAAATGTACGAAGATTTGCTAAACGAGTTGCTAAAATACTTGGCTCATATGGATGTACAGGATGAAAAACTGGTGATGATAATCTTAAATTTGTTCGATTTTGTGATCGTTCATGTTGTTCTTGAATACAATTGCTACAATTACCCATTAGAGATTATCTACAAAGAAAAAAAAAAGAGACAATATATGATAATTCAATTTTGAATACATCACAAATACACACACGTTGAAATACATATTCTCATACTCACTTTGTTGCTTTTTAAAATTGAATAGATACCCAAATAAAAAGAGAAAAAACTAATAATACAAACATTGAAACAAAAAAACAAAGCACACATACATTGTAATTCAAATAAAAAAGAAAGAAAGAAACAGATATGAGCACCGGGTAAGATAAAAAGAATTAAAAATACAGATATTAACGAAAGGACGGTGATACGATTCGTAGTTTGTTTACAATAATTACGTTTAAGATATTTTCTTTCCCTGTAATTTGTTTGATATATGTATATATTTTTCTATTTAAATAGATATTACTTTGATATGTTTATGGACAAGGCATACAAAAAAAAACACAAGAAAAGCACCGACAATAATAGGTATTTATCTTTAATCTGAATTAATTGCTTGTTCAGCTTGAACTTGAGGACGAGGAGCTGAATTTCGACAATGATTTCTTGATGATGAAACAGAAAGAGCATCAGCGGAATCAGATCGAGTATGTTTGGATGTTGTTGTTGTTGGCTCTCTTCGTTTAAGAATTCTTGATCGAAAAATATGACGTTTTGTTTTTATCGGTGTTTCACCTGGACGAACAAATTGTCCTTCAAGACGTTTATTTGTTGTATTTAACAATGATGAACGCGGTGGTATAGGCGGTGGAGATTCAAATTTTTGTGTTCCATCATTAAGTGATGATAATTTTGATGATGAGATTGTTGAAGATGAATTATTACTAGTATTAGTACCGTTTATCATACGTCGACCAGCAGGTGGATTGCCTAGTTTTATTTGAAATGATCCCGATGGACGACGTGAAAAAGACGACGTACTGGACGGAGATGATAATTTCGTTGTAGATGTTACATGTACTAAAAATAAGATACAACTAATTAATCAAACAAAACAACTGAAGATAGGTTTTTTTTGAAGTAATAAGTAAGAGTTGAAGTACAAAGAGTATAATTTTAACAGCAACTATAAAAAACATTTTAGCTTGATTAAAGTCGACATATCGACACTTTTATTTGTTACTTTTTAGACAGAAACGATTGAGTGAATATTAAAAGAGATAAGATATATATACTTCATCAGAACAAAGCTGACAACGGACGTCCGATTATAATCAACATAGGGAACGAACATTCACTCTTTATCTCTACCTTCCGAGATTTCATACCAACTGTTTACGTTTGAGCTTCACTTTATACTCGGACACATGAGCCTCTTGTAGTTAGATGACTAGAGAGACAGATCTGATGGTTCGGATCTCTGCCGAGGGTGTGAACGCCATTTATCTCTCCTAGAGATCCCACACCCATACCCAAAGTATATCATCGACTAAAATAACTGGAAAATAATCGGCAGAGATTCATATTCGTATCATCTTTTTATCTGAGAATCACTTGGCATCTTAGCATCCAAACTTATATTGAAGTTCAAACCTAAATAGTTGGCATGAGACTCCGGTAGTGGACACAGAGGGTGAACGTTCGCTCTTCATGCTGATTGTAATTGGGCATCAATTAGTCAGTTATCAGCTTGGTTCTGATTGAGTGTACGTGTCTTGTTTATTTTTTATATTCACCGAGTTGTATCGGTCTTGACAATGACAAATAAAATTATCGAAAGAAGGACTTCAATAATATTAAAATGTTCTTTAAAGACCTTGCTTTCCGACATGGCACACTTTCTTTATTGATAATATAAATCAAATCGACAAGGAATAGCATAATTAAAATTATAACATAAAAATCTTGAAAAATTTACATAAATTAATCATTTTTTCTATGTTTCATTTTTCCTTACATGATTGATTTTCATCACTACTTGTTGATGAACATAATGAAACATTACCATTTGCTTTCATCATAAATACAAACATTTTATGCACAAATAAATATTGTTTCTGAAAATAAAAAAAGTATGTTGTATTTCAAATCAAATGAAAGTAATCAAAAATATTTCTTTACTTACAATTGTTTGAATTAATGCTATACGAAATTGACGAATATGTGTAGCTATTTCATAGATAGGATAAGGTTGGTAATTTTTACTTAATAATAAACGCTATATAAACAAAACAAAACAAAAAAATATATATATAAACTAGTATCTGTATAAAGTAAAATAGTGGCACTATTGCAGTCCTTAGTGTTGTCAACTTAACATTATTGTAAAATATAGAATTCTATACAACATGAGATATTACAATAAGCAAAATCTCATCTATGCGTTTCCACTAAAGAGCTAGTTTCTTTGAAAATCAGCATTAATAAAAAAAATCGCTGTTTTAATTTTTAACATTTGTCATGCAAAACTAAATATTGTAGAGCAAACTTTGCTCTATAAAATTGTTTCGCATCATGACTCTGATAGGTTTCAATCGAAATATCAATTTGACTAGAATAGTATTCTATACAACTATTATTTTGAACTTCTAAAAACAATATGATGATAGTTGTACAATCTTACCCTAGAAGGAAATTGTGAACATATATTCAGAAAGAGCAAAAAGCTGTGATTTTAATCAACTGCCTTTTTAATTGACCGAAAAATGAGAAAATATTCTATGTTAAGACTTTCACACCATAGGTTAAATTAAAAACCTAGAATGTTATTTTTTGTTGAAATTTTTTCTAACCTCATCACGAATTAACAAACGGCAAAGATCAATGGCAATAATACTTCCAGTTCGACCACAACCAGCACTAAAAACAATAATAAATATTATTTCAAAAAAAAAAAACATTCTGATTTTTGTTTTAAACCTGCAATGTACAAGAATAGGTGTATCAGGTGAAAGACTTCGATCATCATATAATCTTAAAAGTAAGTCAAGTATAGGTGCTTCACCATTAGGTACATCATGATCAAGCCAATGTAAAAAATGATAAAGTAATATATGTCGTCGATTTTCTCCTTGAGTTATTATTAATGGACGAATTTCATAATGTTCGCAACTAAATGCTTTATCATTTGTTTCATCCTATTGAAAAAAAAAATATTTCAATAGAACGCATAAAAAAGAAAAAAACAACAAACGAAAATTATATAGATACATACTTTGCTAACACGATAGGAACCAAATTGAACTGGTTTTTCTTCATCAGGCCAATAACGACGAAATTTTAACTGATCAAAAAAAATCAAAGGAAAGAGATCAATAACTGTTGAACATGGCTCCTTACAGAAATATGATTTCTATCATATCAAGCTATCATACAATGTGTACGAAAGTGAGCCGTGACAGAATTAGTCAATGATTGTCATACGTACATTGAACCTATCTGTTGATGATCATTAGTACTTTTCAAGCGATTCGAAATGGTATAAAAACATCAATTACACAAAGAAATTCTTAGGATACTGTCCTAGAGACAAGATTTTGAGCGTTTTCTTTCTGGTATTTCGTAGATTTCGATTGGAAAAATACGAATTAGATGAAAACTAATATGATATTCTGAATCAGCATCCAAAACTGAATGAACTTACGTGAAATTCAAAAATTTTTCACAACCTTTTTTTTCGTCGAAAAGCTCACTCTTGGTCCCCTTCAGAGTTGAGTCAAAAAATGAATTTCGTGCAAACTCTGTATTTATTGTTTATTCATCTGCTATTTAGAGTCCTACTATCGTTTTATAACCTTCGAATTTGATTCCCAATGTCAAAATAACATTCCGATGACATACATTTTTTGACACAATGTTGAGGAGGATCAGAAGTGAATTTTTCAATGAAAAAAGAAACGTTGCGAAAATTTTTGAAATATACATTAGTTTATTCAAAATATCATGTTAGTTTTTATTCAAATCGTTTTTTTTAATCAAAATCTACTGAATACCAGCAAGAAAAGGCTCAAAATCTTATCTCGAGGACAGTATCCTAAGGATTTCTTTATGGAAGCAACAATTAGTCATATATTCGATAAAAGCATAATTCTTTTTCTCGTTCCACAAATCTTAATTTATATCACATATGATTTAATCATACATAACACAGCGCGAGAGCGGCATGTGAAAAATGAAGTTGTACACCATGGAATGGATAAGTAGAGGATCTCGCCAGAAAACAGTAAGTGAATGTCAACATTCAGCTTTTGTATTAATCGAAATGTTGCAAAAAGACTAGAACAATACTTCTGTGATTTATTTTTCTATAATACTAATAAAATCTTTTGATAATTTTAGTTTTTCGCATTGCAACTATTTCTCGTAGATCTTAAAGAGATCCTTGAATGAGAGTCTGACATGATAGAAATTATATTTCTATAGAAGACCGATTTCATCAGCTATCAATGCCCGGTTTTTTGTTCCTTACTCGTCCAGCTTCAATTTCATTAGCTGTACATATAACAGATGTTATTTGATATTCCCAAATCATTCGAAGAAAATCACTTATTGATTCATCAATTGGTCCTTGAGCTGCAATATAACGACGATTACCAGAAAAATCCTTTATTAAAAAAAAACAAAGTAAATATTTTTAAATCAAAATTGAAATATTTTTATTTAATTTACTTCAACAAACGATGCATTTATATAATCAGAATTGTTGTCTTGTTCAAGAATGACTCGATATTGATCATCTATAATTTGAATCATTTTTTTTTTCATAAAAAATTAAATCTTTTTTATTTTTCATTTTATTTTAAACTTACATGGTAAAACATCTTTATAACGATTTTTTAAACGATTCATAGGTTTAGCACCTTCATCACTAGGATATTTATCTTTAGCATTAATCATTGCTTGTTGTAATTGCTTTAAGAAAA